GCTTTCTTCATGACTTAGGGCCTGTTCTGAAGCACGCTAGCTTCAGCAAAACTTCTCATATCCAGCTTCTGCCCCGACTTCTCGCTTCAGGTGGAGCTACGCAAACCGTTCTGCTGGCAAGGCAGCTTCTCCTATCGCCTGGGTGAGTTGGCAGCCCAGTTGGGGCATTGAAGCCCACCTTCTTGCCACCTTGGGCCGGCTGGAAGCAGCCCATTTCGGTCTAAACTACACACAGGCTAATAAAAAAGAGAGAAACGAGTTGGGCCTGCTTCCTGGGGAGAATGGCTGGCCTTTTTTCACACGAGATAATTTGTGCGATTTCTCCAGTACAGAGAGGTCTACAGAGAGGTAGAAGTGTACAGAGAGTTGGGCCTACAACCGCCATGTATTTTTGAACTACACACAGCCGGCATGTATTTTTGAACTTGCCACAAATATTCCTAGTAAAGACAAGTTATAATAAAGTCGAATAACCAGCTTTGTTATATGTCATACAACAAAAGTTTCATTTGCATATAAGTTTGCAAATCAAAATGGTGTCACATCTAAAGACATGAACATGATTACTTCACCAACTAAGAGCAATGGCGGTAGCTAGTTCATGTCTAAACAAATCCATGTTAGGACCACTTTCCACCGGTGTTGAAGAATCCGATGCATTTGGAGGAATAAAAAACTTCTTGTATCTCTCTAGAATAGTTGGAACATAATCCGGATCCCTCTCACACTGAAGAAAGTGGATATCCTCTTTGTCATGGAGGCGGACATAGTTGTGTATGTCATGGTAGCCGCAATTATCATCTTTTGTGTTTGAATCGAATAGTTTGGCATCTTGAGCAAGATTTGTCATTTCATCTTCCACACACCAAAGGTTCTCTCTATGGTATTGCGCTTGGAGGAGTGGATCCAGTTGAACTTCTCTACAGGAGTATTTGGGGGTGCACCTCGTTGAAAGTCGGGGACATGATAGCGTTCACCTTTGTACGGTGCTAGATAGCCATCCCTATTAGGATAGCCGGCGTCTACAAGGTAATACTTGCCTATAGAATTGGACAACAAACATGATTGTGAGTTGAAGGACATGTTATATTAATTGCAACAACAAGAAATACTTACCCTTGGGAGGATGTGGGAATGTGACCTTGTCATTTCAATTGCATGAAATAGCACACTTGTATCATGCATAGAACCCGGTTGTCCAATTGAAGCATAGGTGAAATGCATATCAAAGTCACATACTGCCATCACATTCTGTGTTGTTGCACCGGTTCTTCCAATGTACCTTATTTTTGAAGGTCCTTCCGGAATAGAAGCCCTAATATGTGTTCCATCTACTGCACCAATGCAATCTTTGAGATGAGGATAAGCCCTTTCTTCTTGAACTTGCCACAACCTTTAATGTCCTGTAATACAACATAGGAAACACATTATTAGTAATCAAAGTGATATGGATGAATTAAGATATGCAATACATTAGCAAAAGAACTCACAATTTTGGCCTTTTTCCACCACTCATCATCTTGTGACAAGGTGTTGTTCACATAGTCCCATCCGGCTTCGGTCTCCTGGAACTTGAGTTTCTTGAACAAACTGAAATCACCTTTAAGCTTGTCCCATTTGTTTTTCAGTTGTGTATATGTGTAGTCTAGCCTAGTTCTCATCTTAAATTGCCTTCCTACCTCATCAAATGCATTTGGTGTCAAGTAATTGCCTGGCCTATTTCCGGCGTTCACTTGCTCAGCAAACAACTCACAGATAATCTGAGTGTTTTCAACGCTCCATTCAGCAGCCCCAGACATACTTGAAACTTCTCTAAAAAATGCATGTCACTTTGATAAATACAAGAAATATACTTTTCTACACAGCCAAGGGCATGTAATATCTGAACTAGCAATACATTTGCACACATACACCACTAGACTTATGATAATAAATTGCAAACATATAGCAGTACATTTCTGAATAGCCAAAATTGTATTTCACTTTTCTGAAAATTATAACACATTAGCACTCATGGCAGTACCCACATAGCAATATGCACACATATACTCCGTAGTAGCAGTACATTTTCTGCATACCCAAAACTGTATTTCACTTTTCTGAATGATGCAACAGGTTAGCACTCATGGCAGTACCCACATAGCAATATGCATTAAAGCTTATGATTCCAGAATTGCACACATATATTCCAGATTTGCACAACAAACAATAGATTCCAGTGTACGAATTTGGACACAACAAGTACAACTCCGAAAATAAACCGTAGAGATGTACAGAACAGAGGACATGCGCGAGGACACCAATCCATAGGGAAGAAGAGAAGGGGACGAGCTCACCTTGCAGTTTATGCTTGGAGGCGCGGTCGTCCTGGTGCCACTCCTGGCTTGGGAGCGTCTCTTGGGCTTCAATGGCGTTGGGGCCAGCTCCTCCGAGCCATGTGGTCGCAGCTCCTTGCACCAGGCGCGACGGACGGCGAAGATGATGGGATCCGGCGGGAAATAGACCGGGGCGGCCGGATCTGTAGTCTGAGTCAACGATTTGGCCGGCGATGGGGGCTGCCGGGCATGGCAGCAGCAACGGCAGCGGTAGGGCTACAGAGGAGAAGCGAGGGGAAGGGAGTTGTGTGCGACCATGTTGACCCGCGGGATCAAGCGAGGGGGAGTTGAGCGAAACATTTTTCTTGGAGGTGGCAATTCGGCCGTAAATAACGAGCAGCTTCAGATTCACGAAAACGGGAAGCTGGGAATCTGCCGCTTCGAAAAAATGAACTACAACCCATCGCGGCTTCCTGAATTTTAGCTTCGTGAAGCTAATCCGTTCGTGATGGCTTCGAGCAGAAGTTTTTAGAAGTATGGAGTGGGAGGAGATCAGAACAGGCCCTTATACATGTTTCTCTAACTATGAGATTATGAAACTTCCGAATACCGGAGGAACACCTTGTGTGCTATCAAACCTCACAACGTAACTGGGTGATTATAAAGATGCTCTACAGGCGTCTCTGAAGGTGTTTGTTGGGTTGGCATAGATCAACATTAGGATTTGTCACTCCGTGTATCGGAGAGGTATCTCTGGGCCCTCTCGGTAATGCTCATCACTATAAGCCTTGCAAACAATGTGACTAATGAGTTAGTTATGGGATGAAGCATTACGGAACGAGTAAAGAGACTTGCCGGTAACGAGATTGAACTAGGTATGATGATACCGACGATCGAATCTCGGGCAAGTAACATACCGATGATAAAGGGAATGACATATGTTATTATGCGGCTTGACCGATAAAGATCTTCATGGAATATGTAGGAACCAATATGAGCATCTAGGTTTCGCTATTGGTTATTGACCAGAGATATGTCTTGGTCATATCTACATAGTTCTCGAACCCATAGGGTCCACACGCTTAACGCTCGATGACGATTTGTATAATGAGCTATGTGATTTAATGACCGAAGTTTGTTCGAAGTCCCGGATGAGATCACGGACATGACGAGGAGTCTTGAAATGGTCAAGAGGTAAATATTGATATGTTGGAAGGTTATATTCGGACATCGGAATGGTTCCGGAGTGATTCGGGTATTTTTCGGAGTACCGGGAGGTTACCGGAACCCCCCGGGGAAGTAGCGGGCCTTCATGGGCCTTCATGGAAAGGAGAGGAGGGCCGCAAGGGTGGCCG